AAAAGTGTTGGTTACTGTGAGTGGAAACAGGCTGCTGTCGACTGCCAATCAGCTGATGGATAACATTGCATATAAGGATGATCCAAACAGGCCTTGGGTAACATTGGTAAGATCAATTTTTTTTTTTTTTTCAACCACATCTCTCAGCACTTACAAGGAGACAGGAAGGCCAACCAACTGTGGGTCATCATTCATTGTTTCTAGGTGATACTACACTTTCTTGGCCTGATAATTGCCCAAAATGATCTCTGAATTAGATGAAGTCTGGGCTAATATATTGAAAGACTTAACATAAATTCCCACAGATAGGAATACTCACAAGTTTAGTTATTTTTTGTCCCAATTTAATGACAAAAAGAGTTCCTTATGTGAACTTTCCCAGTATTTTTCGGCTCCAAAATATCCTGATATAAGTTATGAAATAAATTTGAAACCAATTGCTTCTGCACATTTGCTTGAAGAATTCAAATTTAGGAAGTTGGCAGCAGATATTTGGTCTGCAATTATGATGTGTCAGTTATTGACTAAGTTTGTACTGGACTATGAGGACAGTTCAGAAGTAGACACATGTTTTCCTGCTGCTATACAAGGGATTCCATATTCCCTGTACAACTATATTTTTGGAAATGTTGTTGAAAGCCCTAAAACTAAAAGCCCAGCTAAGGAAGCAAGCTACTAATAATGCTTCAAGTGGAAGTGTTTATTTATTGCTACATTCTTGCCCTCTTTCTCCTGCTTTGTTTGCTGAACAAACATAAGCTAAGTTGAGCAAGCTATTAATAATACTGTTCTTAGGATACCTCAGACCTTTTGGAAATTTAAAAGACGAAGGTCTAACAGGGGAACAGGACCAGCTGCTAGGTTCAGTTATCAACCTAGAGGAAACTTTAGAGGAGGAAACAATTCAAGATGTAGTAAGGGTGGCCGTTCGTTCAGAAGTGGAAGGAGACCTTATTCCACCACATCAGCGGTCATTCCCTCCCACTGAAGCCAGACAGCTGGGTCGTCTAGGGGGTTGGGAAGACAGGTGGACTTCTTCCATATGGGCTTACAAGAAAATCAAAGGGGGCCTCACATGGACTTGGTTGAGGCACCCTCCCCTAGTGTTACCAAAAAGGGGTAAAAAACCAACCCCCTTACTCACAGAATTTGTAATTCAACTGTTAAACAGAGGTGTGATAGAACTGTTGCAGTCAGAGAAATGTTCCATGTCTCGCCTATTCCCAGTCCCCAAGAAAGGCAGCGACAACTTGCGGTGGATTTTAGATCTTTCCGTCCTGAACAAGTTCATTACCAAAACAAGTTTCAAGTTGCTCACTTTCGATTATCTGAGGCATCTACTTCCGCCCAATGCTTGGATCTCGAAGATGCCTATTATCACGTGCCTGTTGCTTCCAGGTACAGAAAGTTTCTAGTATTTGCAGTGGGGGATGTAAGTTATCAATTCACAGTGATGCCATTCGGCCTGACAATTGCGCCAAAAGTGTTTACAAAACTGGCAAACATCCCCAGAGATCTGTCAGACACCTATTAGCAGTCAGTCACTCTACCAGAAGCAAAGGTAACATGTGATAAACCAAGTAGAAGCTTTTTGTGCAAAGAAAGAGGTTTCTTGGCACGATTGGGAAAAACTACTGGGTCTGTTGAAGTTTGCCACAATAGTAGTTCCTTCGGGAAAGTTAAGGAAGAAGCAACTAACTCATCTGGGGTTGAATTTGCTTCACAGAAACAGAAATTTTGCTTCTTCTCTCCCTATTCACAAGAATCTCTTCGTCTTGGTGGAAAAATTGGGACAATCTAATCGGTTCCTCTCCCTGGGTTCTGCTTCAAACAGACTTGGTCGTTTGTACGGATGCGTCCGAAATAGGATAGGGATACCATTACTCAAAAGGGGAATTCAGTCAAGGGAAGTGGGGAAACTCCCTTTGGGACAAACCCATAAACATAAAAGAATTAACGGTAGTCCTCTTCTTTTTGTTGGCAAACCCAAATTTAAAAAATATGACGATCCTGTTTACCATGAACAACAAAACGGCAGTGTTTTGTCTCAATCATCAAGGCTCAACCAGATCTTGGCCCGTTCTAAAACTGTCAGAAAAAATGTTCAAAGTTTGTGTAATACAAACACTTTACCTCGAAGCAACTCATATACTGGGAGTACAAAACAATTGGGCAGATGTGTTGTCCCGTCTCAGGCCAGTATCGAAGGAAACAGAATGGTCCCTAAAGGTATCAGAGTTCAAGAGTCTAGTGAGGAAGCTTGGAGCTCCAAAAATAGATCTCTTTACCTCCCTAAAAAATCACAAGATGCCACTTTTTGCATCTCTGAAAATGCTCTACGCATAGATTGGAACCTTTGGAATTCAATCCATCTGTTCTCACCTGTGAAAATGTTGCCCAAATTGGTTCACAAACTCAGATCCTTCCAAGGCAAGGTCCTCTTAATTGTACCATATTGTATCCTACAACCTTGGTGCCTGGATCTGTTGGACTGGTGCCCACATCCACTACAATTGCAACAAGGATGTGTAGACCAGGTACTGCACCCTCAGTTCGAGATATCCTTGGCACTTCACGCTTGGAGCTTTTCAAAAGAAGTCTAAATATTGTTTTTTAATTCCAATATAGCTAACCAAGTAATAGCAGGTCATAGACCCCAAACTTCTATGCAATATGAGAAGGCTTGGAAACTTTTTCAACAATTTATCAAGTTAATGACTCTAAGACACATTGTCGGAAACAGTTGTGTTAGAATTTTTAGAATTTCTGTTCAGAGTTAAAGGTCTTCAAGGATTGACAATTGCATCTTAAATCAGCATTGGTTGACCCTCTGGCTTGGGGTTTTAATATTACTTTGAACCCAAGGATTTATCAAATGCTAAGATCGTCCTTTTTCATTCAGAGACCCCCCTCAGCCTACGAGAATCCCACCTTGGTCTCTAGAAGTTACTAAATTTCTTATGGGGCCTAATTACAATATAAATCTGAACCGGGATAAATTGTTCCAGAAGGCAGCCTTCCTTCTAGCAATAACAACGGGTATGAGAATCAGTGAACTGATTTCAACTTCCAATAATCCATCATAATTGGTATTTTTTGAGGAAGATGTCACCTTTTTTCCCACGGAGATCCTAAGAAAAAATGAAAGGGAGGATTTTCAAGCTCAACCTATTAGGATAAAAATGGCTAATGGACGAGACAAGGGTTCCTCATACAGTATATTGTGCCCAGTTCAAATCTTCAGGAATGGTTAACCAGATTCCCTAATCGAGGCCCCTAAGTATTCTCATCACAGGATGGTAAGAAATTGTCTCCTAGTCAAATGACAAAATATTTATCTCAGTTAGTGAGTCAAGCAGACCCTGGTAAGAAATATTTGGCACATGATACCAGGAAATATGCAGGGTCTGTGGCCTTTCTGCAGCGTATGAGCCTCAGTCAGATAAAAAAAAGTGACCTTTTGGAGATCTTCAAAAATTTTTAAAAACAGCTATCTTCATCAATCTCTGAAGGATGCTTCACATGTGGTGGTACTGGGGACCCTCCCCCACCTAGTTACTCTCCACAACTAGGACCTTCTTCCTCATCAGAGTAAAGTGAGTATCCTAATTGGGATATGTAAATTAACATTTTACCTTCCGGTAAATTTTCCTAATATTTGAAAATATTCCAAGCGGTTTATATTCAGAATCTGGACCTAAGCTAGCGGAGCCTTGTATGCAATGTCACCACCTGCTCGGGTATTCAAGCTAGGCATCGCATTCTGGTTTGAACAAAAAGCTTTTTTTTTTCTTAAAAAAAAAAGTTTTTTTTTCAGGTCTGAGAATCTTCTCATTACTGGAAATCTCTCAACCCCAGAGGAGCTCTGCACCAATTGTTCCAGTTAACAGGGTGTCTACTGTCCTTTTTTTTGTGTAATTGCAAATACAGTATTCGTGGGCATGTTTCCCATCTAGAGTTCCAGATGTTCCTCGGAATGACTTGGAGACACCACCAAAAATCGGCTAACAAGCCAATCAGTGGTGAAGAGGATACAGTAAATAAGTTTTATTGGTGCTTTGTATAAACAAGCCATATTCTGAGAAAATTTTCACTATTCTTAACTTTTTCATTCATCATTTTTGACAAAATCCATTTATGTGCATCTTTTAAAAACTGTACTTTTCATCAAACAAATCACTTTACAGTACCTTTATCCTGAGCCTTCCAATACCAGTTATCATCAAGATCACTCCCTCATAACTGTATGCGCTGACCTAACCAAGCTAACAGCCAAAACACTTTCCTTGTCTTTCCCTACAATAATATTTAAATGAACATTTTAACACTTTCATTTACCCATTCCCTCTTTGTTTTTGGTGCTCCAGTTGCATGGTTGGCTTGCCAAGGCCTTGAACTGGCCCAGTCGGTCCACCCACTTATTGCAGTATGGTGGATTGCTTCCACTACTATAGTTCCCTGGGGGCAGGGTACTCCTTCCTTTCATTCCCAGATTTTAGACACAAGATTGGTTCTTAAACTATCCAGTTAAGTGAATGGTTTTCAGCCTGTGGGGAACAACTGGTACCATATACAGTTTCTTAAAATTCCCTTCCTCTGGGACTCATGCAGTTAACAGTTATGTATATACTGTAGTACCAAAAACTTGAGTGAAAAATATGCACTGATATGCCAGCAAATGACTAATTCTTGGCTACCCCCCCCCCCCCATTTTAACTTTTATGTAAACCCTTTGCCTCTATACCAGTGAGCTTAGTTGGAACAGAGGGAAAAAAAAACTCTCCCTCATTTGCTATCATTCATTTTGACTAGATCCCTAACAAATGTATTCTATGACAAAATAAGAAATGATACAGTACATATTGATTTCTTTCTTTATTTCAATTTAAGAGTACAGAGGGTGGAATCACACACAATGGAGGGATCATACAAGTGACACTGGCCTCTAGTGGGTGGCCATTAGGTAAATAAACATAAATGAAACTTTTCATATGAAGTAA